TAATTAAAGAATGAGTGCTTTGAATCAAATCACTTTTTAAAAAGTACAGTACACTGAGATTCTGGAGAGGTTGCATAAACAGCATCTGGGCGCTTCTGCGAGGAAAAGAGTCGGTAACGCTTTCCTGTCCAATACGGGGCTGGGTGGGCGCAGGGTGGGCGAAGGGAAGAGTGGCCTTTTGCACAAGACTTCTGTCCTCTGATTGGACACACCTCCCAAAGCCCAGGCCTCCAGGGACTGGGGGAGACCCACAGGAGACAGCCTTTTGCTTCAAAGGCTTTGGTTTAGAGCAGGGGATGGGGGTGGGAGAGGGGTCCCCACTTCTGCCCTTTCTTCTTCCTTTTTCATTGTTATTGTTGTTTTTGGAGATGGAGTCTCGCTTGCTCACTCAGGCTGGAGTGCAATGGCCTGATCTCAGCTCACTGCAACCTCCGCCTCCCAGGTTCAATCGATTCTCCTGCCTCAGCCTCCTGAGTAGCTGGAACTGCAGGTGCCTGTCACCACACCCAGCTAATTTTTTGTATTTTTAGTAGAGACGGGGGTTTCACTGTGTTAGCCAGGATGGTCTCGAACTCCTGATCTCATGATCCCACAGCCTCGGCCTCCCGCAGTGCCGGGATTACAGGTGTGAGCCAGCGCACCCCATCTGTCATTTCTTTAAGACATAGGGTCTCCCTGTGTTGCCCAGGTTGGCGCCCACTGGCTCAATCCTCTGCTTTCAGGGAAGCAGGCAGGAGAGGAGGGTTCGCTGCACCCACCCACTTAATTGCGCGCCATCTGCAGTGAGCCTGAAAGGGAACAGATGGGGAGCCTGGTGGGCCTCCGCGCGGATGGAGGAGGATCGGGTTCCCCGGGCCCGCCCTGCCCCCGGGCTCCGCGCCTCTCTGGGCACCGGACGGCCGTGCCCGCGGGCACCGTCTCAGCCTCGCCGCGCGGTCAAGCAGAAGCCACTTCCGGCTCTGGTCGCGGATCTGAGCCGAGGAGCGGGGGCGGCGGGTCTAGACGACCGTCAGGCGCCAGGGAGCGGTGGCGGGCGGGAGGGGGCGCCAAGTGGGCCGGCCCCGGGGACGAGAACGGTGGGACAGGAGGCTGGGGACCCCGACACCCCGAGAGGCTCCCGGATCGCCGCGCCTGGATGCTTGCACTTGGTGCAAGGAAAGCAAAAGAGATTTTAAATCCAGAGTCACAGGATCAGGCCGTGGGGGATGGGTTGCGGGATGTGAGGGTTTAAGGTGGCAGCTGCGAGGACCTGCAGATCATCTTGACTTCATAGGCAGTTTCTGCTTGGAGCGTGGCGGCCAGCCTAGGAGGTCACCGCTGCCCCCATCCTGGAGTGGAAACAGTGGGCCTGGCCCAGGGCAGGGGCCCAAGGGTGGCGTGGAGGCGCCTGGTGGCTCTGGGAGCCACTAGGAGCGGGAAGGGAGGAGGGCAAGGCTGGCAGCTGACTGGGTGGGGGGTTTTCGCCAGCCGAGAGAGGAGTGGCTGTGCCAGGCACTGATTTCCAGCGTCTTTCCAGGAGGAAACCTGGTCTGCAAGGCTGGGATGGGGCCTTCCTCCCAGCTCTGAGCATGGGACTGACCCCAGGGCTGGCAGAAGCCCGGGACTGCTTAGACCGTTTCCTCGGCTGACTCAGAACTCAGTCCTTCCAAGCCACAGGCCTCTTTCTGGGCCCTGGGTGGATGGTTAGAGCCAGATCCTGGGGTCACCCTGACCCCTGACTCCCCGGAAACCCTCGTCCATCTGATTGGCTGGCCCTCTTGTTATTTTTTCGACCTGGCCCAAACTGCTGCCATCTCTCCTCTCTCTCTTTTTTTTTTTTTTTTTTTGAGACGGAGTTTCACTCTTGTTACCCAGGCTGGAGTGCAATGGCGCGATCTCGGCTCACCGCAACCTCCGCCTCCTGGGTTCAGGCAATTCTCCTGCCTCAGCCTCCTGAGTAGCTGGGACTACAGGCACGCACCACCATGCCCAGCTAATGTTTTGTATTTTTAGTAGAGACGGGGTTTCACCATGTTGACCGGGATGGTCTCGATCTCTTGACCTCGTGATCCACCCGCCTCGGCCTCCCAAAGTGCTGGGATTACAGGCTTGAGCCACCGCACCCGGCCTCCTCTCTCTTTTTTTGAGACGGAGTCTCACTCTGTTGCCCAGGCTGGAGTGTGATGGTGTGATCTTGGCTTACTGCCAGACTCCGCCTCCCCGGGTTCAAGAGATTCTTCTGCCTCAGCCTCCTAAGTGGAATTACAGCCGTCTGCCACCACGCCCTGCTAATTTTTGTATTTTTTTTTTTGAGACGGAGTCTTGTTCTGTCATCCAGGCTGAAGTGCAGTGGTATGATCTTGGCTCACTGCAACCTCCGCCTCCTGGGTTCAAGAGATTCTCCTGCCTCAGCCTCCCGAGTAGCTGGGATCACAGGTGTGCGCCACCACGCCTGGCTAATTTTGTATTTTTATTAGAGACGGGGTTTCGCCATGTTGATCAGGCTGGTCTCAAACTCCTGACCTCAGGTTATCTGCCCGCCTCTGCCTCCGAAAGCGCTGCGCCCACCCCGCTCTCGTCCTAAACACGGAGCCACCCCAGCCCTCTCATCTTTGCCCTCCCAAAGCCTCACTTGCTCTTCAAGCCTCAGCTTCAAGGACTCCTCCTACTTTCTGCACTAGGTGAGGTCCTCCTGCCTTGTTTTTTCAGAGGAATGGTCTTGCTCTGTTGCCCATGCTCAACAGCAGTGGTGCAATCACGGCTCACTGCAGTGTCAAACACCTGGGCTCAAGCGATCCTCCTGCCTCAGCCTCCCGAGTAGCTGGGAACACAGGCCCACACCTCCATGCCCAGCTAATTAAAATTTTTTAGAGAAAGGGTTCCACTATGTTGTTGAGGCTGGCCTTAAACTCCTGGCCTCAAGCGATCCTCCTACCTTGGCCTCCCAAAGCACTGGGATTACAGGCCTGAGCCACCGCACCAGCCTTACTCTGCTTTGTGCTCCCCGGCGGCCGCCTCCCCAGTCAGGACACTCAGTTGCTTGGTCTCCCAGCCAGAAGGGCAGGGCTCAGTAAACATGTGTTGTCAGCAGGTACTGGGTGCCAGGCCTGTTGTCAGCAGGTACTTGGATGCCTGCCACGCTCTTGTGACTGGTCTTTCTGCCTTTAGTCTTCTCCCTTCCTTCAGCTTCCCACCTGCCCCCGGAGTGGTCTTGCTGAGACACAGCTGAGACCCGCCACTTGGCTTATCAAGTACCCAGAACACTATCCAGAGTCATCCCAGGCTGGGCGTGCTGGCTCACGCCTGTCACCCCAGCACTTTGGGAGGCTGGGGCAGGAGGATGGCTTGAGCCCAGGAGTTTGAAGCCAGCCTGGGCAACATGGTGAGACCCCATTTCTACAAAAAATAAAAAATTGGCTGGGTGTGGTGGCTCACACCTGTAGCCCCAGATACTCTGGAGGAGAGGCAGGAGGATTGCTTAAGTCCAGGAGTTTGAGGCTGCAGGAAGCTATGATTGTGCTACTACTGCATTCCAGCTTGGGGACACAGAAAGACCCTGCCTCTGAAAAAGAAAAACTGTCCTATCCCAAAGCCCCTTCTCCTCTTTTTTTTTTTTTGAGACAGAGTCTCGTTCTGTCGCCAGACACCAGGCTGGAGTGCAGTAGCACGATCTCGGCTCACTGCAACCTCCGCTTCCCGAGTTCAAGCAGTTCTCCTGCCTCAGCCTCCTGAGCAGCTGGGATTACAGGCATGCGCCACCACGACCAGCTAATTTTGTACTTTTAGCAGAGATGGGGGTTTCCCCACGTTGGTCAGGCTGGTCTTGAACTCCCGACCTCAGGTGATCCCCATGCTTTGGCCAAGGTGCTGGGATTACAGGTATAAGCCACTGTGCTCAGCCCTCAAACCCCCCACCCCCCACCTTTTTTTTTTTTTTAATGAAATCTCGCACTGTTGCCCAGGCTGGAGTGCAGTGGTGCGATCTCAGCTCACTGCAGTCTGTACCTCTTGGGTTCAAGCAATTCTCTTGCCTCAGCCTCCCGAGTAGCTCAACTCCAAGGGTGTGCACCACCACGCCTGGCTAATGTGTGTGCGCGTGTGTGTGTGTGAGTGCGTGTGCGTGTGTGTGTGTGTGTTTGAGACAGAGTTTCATTCCTGATGTCCAGGCTGGAGTGCAATAGTGTGGTCTCAGCTCACTGCAGCCTCCACCTCCCGAGTTCAAGCGATTCTCCTGCTTCAGCTTCCCGACTAGCCGGGATTACAGGCGCCTACCAACACACCCAGCTAATTTTCGTAGTTTTAGTAGAGACGAGGTTTCACCATGTTGGCCAGGCTGGTCTTGAACTCCTGACCTCAGGTGATCTGCCTGCCTCGGCCTCCCAAAGTGCTGGGATTACAGGTGTGAGCCACTGTGCCCGGCCTAATGTTTGTATTTTTTATAGAGACAGGGTCTCCCTATGTTGCCCAGGCTGGTCTCAAACTCGTGACCTCAGGTGATCCACCCGCCTCCACCTCCCAGAGTGCTGGGATTACAGGCAACAGGGTGTCGGCTCACTGCAACCTCCACCTCCCAACCTCCACCTCCCGTTGGCCCTTAAATATCACATCCGGCCATATTTAAAATTTTCTAGAGAAAGGGCAACTATGTTGCCTAGGCTGGTCTCGAACTCCTGGCCTCAAGCAATCCTTTCGCCTTGGCCTCCCAAGGCATCGGGATTACAGGCCAATGAGGTTGAACTCCTGACCTCGAGCAATCTGCCTGCCTCGACCTCCCAAAGTGCTGGGATTACAGGCATGAGCCACCATGCCTGGCCCTGTGGTACTTTTTCTTTCTGTGGCTTTTCTTCTTGAGGTCACACACTCCTAGGAGCACAGAGAGGTCTGAGGTCTTCCCGGACGCTACCTCTGCTGTGACGAGGAAGGAGGGCCTTGGCAGGCCACCTGAGCTGCGTTTCCCGACCCTGTCCCCAGTGACAGCTGCAGCCGAGATCCACTAGAGAACACGAAACAGGAACCGTAAAGTAAAGGCAACGCTTTCTTTTTGTTTTTTTTTTTTTCTTTTTTTACTTATTTAAAAAGGCCTTGGTGGCAGGAATATAGTGTAAAAATCATTGGAAAAACTAAAAGGCATCGATACATATCCGAATATACACTTTGTACATAAATTACATTTCCTTTAGTCTTTCTGAGTGAGGTCCTGATTCAGTACTGAGGTCTAGTAATTAAGAGGTCCTGGGATTTGCACGTTCAGGCCGGCATAGTCCACCATGTACATTGGCCATTGCTAGAGAGAGGGACAAAGGGACCGGGTTAGGACTCCGGGTGATGAGGAACGAACCCAGAATGCTTAGCTCTGCCTTCGGAGGCGCTTTCTCAGAGGTTACTTGTTTATTTATATTTTTTATTTTTTTGAGACGGAGTTTCACTCTTCTGCCGAGGCTGGAGTGCAGTGACATGATCTTGGCTCACTGCAACCTCGGCCCCCTGGGTTCCATAGAGTCTCCTGCCTCAGCCTCCAGAGTAGCTGGAATTACAGGCTAATTCCTGACCTCAGGTGATCCATGCCCACTTGATTTTTTATTTTTAGTAGAGGTGGAGTTTTGCCATGTTGGTCAGGATGGTCTCAAACTCCTGACCTCAAGCAATCCACCCGCCTTAGCCTCCGAAAGTGCTAGGATTACAGGCGTGAGCCACTGCACCTGGCCTATTTATTTTTGAGACGGAGTCTTGCTCCATTGCCCAGGCTGGAGTGCAGTGGCACAATCTCAGTTCACTGCAGCCTCCACCTCCTAGGTTCAAGCGATGCTCCTGCCTCAGCCTCCTTAGTAGCTGGGATTATAGGTGCCCACCACCGTGCCAGGCTAATTTTTGTATTTGTAGTAGAGACAGAGTTTCACCATGTTCACCAGGCTGGTCTTGAACTCCTGACCTCAAGTGATCTGTCCGCCTCGGCCTCTCAAAGTGCTGGGATTACAGGCATGATCCACCATGCCCAGCAGAGGCTATTTATTTTGAGGTTGCTGAGGCCCAGAGAGGGAATGTGGCCTGTGTGAGGCCATGCAGTTCAGCAGAGGTCCTGGAGTCCGGGCTCGAGCTGTCTCTCTGTTCCCAGCTGTGTCCCAACCTGGGGGCTCATCATGTGGCCCGGAGACTGGGGTCAGAGGGAGCTGAGGACTGGCTTAGCACGGGCATTCACCCCCATGAACTCAACCTACACTCCAAAGAAGCCGTCCTGTCTCTCTGGGGGGCCTGTTTGAGCTAGGGACCCTCTGTGGACACTCGTAAGCCTGGGTGGGGCTACAGGTGAAGTCTGAACTTTTGGGTTCTCCAGGAAGAGGCTAAAGAGAGACAAGGTCAAAGGATAACAAATCCAAAAATCATTTTCTTTTCTTTTGTTTTTGAAACGGAGTCTTGCTCTGTCACTCAGGCTGGAGTGCAGTGGTGCAATCTTGGCTCACTGCAACCTCCTCCTCCAGATTCAAGTGATTCCCCTGCCTCAGCCTCATGATCAGCTGGGACTACAAGCACCTGCCACCACTCCTGGCTAATTTTTGTATTTTTAGTAGAGATGGGGTTTCACCATATTGAACAGGCTGGTCTTGAACTCCTGACCTCGTGGTCCACCTGCCTCGGCCTCCCAAAGTGCTAGGATTACAGGCGTGAGCCACCGCGCCCGGCCTGGACTATGGATTTCAAAGCTAATATATATATATTTTTTGAGACAGAGTCTCACTCTGTCACCCAGGCTGGGGTGCAGTGGCGCAATCACAGATCACTGCAGCCTCAATCGCCCCAGGTTCAAGCGATCCTCCTGCCTCAGCCTCCCAAGTAGCTGGGACTACAGGCATGTGACACCACGCCTGGCCAATTTTTTATTTTTATTTTTAATAGAGACAGGGGTCTTTCTATGTTGCCCAGGCTGGTCTCAAACTCCTGGGGTCAAGCAATCCTCCCGTCTTGGCCTCCCAAAGTGCTGGGATTACAGGTGTGAGCCACCATGCCCAACCCTCAAAGGTAATATTTTGGAATCAGAAATCTCCAGTGTGCGCCCCTAATGTTTTCCCCTCAGGCAGGAGAGACCAAACCCAGCGTTGTGACAGGACAGATGGAGCTTTGGAGGTGAATTCTCCACCCAACCGGGAGCAGCGAGGGGCCACGGGTCAGTCTACCCCCCTGCCGACTCTGTTGTTCTGATCTGCACATTGCGGGTAACACCCACACCTCGCAGGGTTGTGATAAAGCTCCCAGCCCACAACGTGCCCACAGAGATGAGCCTAACCTCCCCCCACTCTGGGAATCTGATGTTCCTTTTGTTTTTTTTTTGAGGCGGAGTCACACTCTGTCATTCAGGCTGGAGTGCAGTGGTGCAATCTTGGCTCACCGCAACCTCCGTCTCCCAGGGTCAAGTGATTCTCCTGCCTCAGCCTCCCTAGTAGCTGGGATTACAGGCATGTGCCACCATGCCTGGCTAATCTTTGTATTTTTAGTAGAGATGGGGTTTCACCATATTGGACAGGCTGGTCTTGAACTCCTGACCTCAGGTGATCCACCCACCTCGGCCTCCCAAAGTGCTGGGATTACAGGCGTGAGCCACAGTGCCCGGCCACTGACGTTCCTTTTCATGCCTCCAGCTCTGGCGCTGCTGAAGGTGGTGGGCAGGTCCCTTCCTGGACCTCGGCTGGCCCCCTGCCTGGGGGGATGTGAATTCCTGCCTGGGTGCCTGTGAGTACCCCATGAGAAGGACGGGCTACCTTGTGGGTGGGACGGGTGGATGCATCTATAACCCCCAAGGCCAGAAGGCCCCCCCCCTCAAAGCCCAGTGTCTCCCCATCCCCTGGGCCCACATCCCAGAGTAGACGGCCCTGCCCGAGGGAGGGGTGGGGGCCACAGAGAGTGCTGGAGGCCAGATCTGTGCAACTTTACCACGAGCGAGATCTGGTTGGCCGATGCCACCGAATCCGGGTTAGAGGACGAGGAAGAGGAAGACGAGGAGGAAGAGGAGACAGAATTTCCTTCCGAGACCCGCTTTCTCTTGCGCTTGGGAATGCTGCTGTCTTTGGCTGGAAGGAGGGGAAAAGGTTGTTGACGCTGGATTCGGGGGCCTGTCTCGGCCTCCTGAGCTCCCTGGGGAAGTCTTCTGTCTTGAGGTGTCAAATCCCCCTTTCAGGATTTCAGGATTCTGATTCCCCGCGGTCAGGGCCCACCTGTCCAGCCTCCTTCCCAAAGCAAGCCCGAGGGCCCACTCTCCCGGCTCCGGCTCTTGCTGGCCCCCTGCTTTTGCTAACACCGAATCCTCATCCCCAGGTGGACCTCCTCCTCCCCAGCAGGCTCACCTCAGGCCTTAGGCCCTCCTTTTTTTTTTTTGGAGACGGAGTCTCGCTCTGTCGCCCAGGCTGGAGTGCGGTGGCGTGATCTCAGCCCACTGCAATCTCCACCTTCTGGGTTCAAGCGATTCTCCTGCCTCAGCTTCCTAGCTAGCTGGGACTACAGGCGTCCGCCACCACACACGGCTAATTAGTTTTGTATTTTTAGTAGTGACAGGGTTTCACCATGTTGGCCAAGATGGTTTGATCTCTTGATCTCATGATCTGCCCACCTCAGCCTCCCAAATTGCTGGGATTACAGGCGTGAGCCACTGCGCCTGGCCTGTTTTTTGTTTTTTTGAAGATGGTGTCTTGCTCTGTTCCCTAGGCTTGAGTGCAGTGGCATGATCTCGGCTCACTGCAACCTCTGCCTCCTGGATTCAAGCGATTCTCGTGCCTTAGCCTCCCGAGTAGCTGGGATTACAGGCATCTGCCACCACACCTGGCTAATTTATTTTTTTTTTTTTTTTTTTGAGATGCAGTCACGGTCTGTTGTCAGGCTGGAGTGCAGTGGCGCGATCTCGGCTCAGGGCGACCTCCACCTCCTGGGTTCAAGTGATTCTCCTGCCTCAGCCTCCCAAGTAGCTGGGACCACAGGTGTGTGCCACCATGCCTGGCTAATTTTTTGTATTTTAGTGGAGATGGGTTTCACCATGTTAGGCAGGATGGTCTCGATCTCCTGACCTCATGATCCGCCCGCCTCGGCCTCCCAAGGTGCTGGGATTATAGGTGTGAGCCACTGTACCGGCCAATTTATTTGTATTTTACTAGAGATAGGGTTTCACCCTGTCGGCCAGGCAGGTTTTGAACACTTGACCTCAAGTGATCCATCCACCTCGGCCTCCCAAAGTGCTGGGATTACAGGCACGAGCATCTGGCCTATATTGCTTTTTAGGGTCTCACTGTGTTGTCCAGGCTGGAGTGCAGTGGCACAATCGTAGCTCACTGTAGCCTCCAAGTCCTGGGCCCAAGCACTCCTCCCACCTCAGGCTCCCGAGTAGTGGCGACTATAGGTGTGCACCACCATGCCTGGCTCACTTTTTGAATTTTGTATCATTATGTTGCAAAACTCCCAGCCTCAAGCAGTCCTCCTGCCTCAGCCTCCCCAAATGCTGAGATTATAGGCACGAGCCACCATGCCTGGCTCACGGCGACAATATGAATCGCTTTCTCAGTTTCTGAGGATTTGCTGGATGCTGGGCACTGTGTTAGATTCTTTGCACATTATCTCCTGAGATCCTCCCAGCAGGCTCTCGGTGTTGGATCTCCCAAGATGCTAGTCACATTTCACACATGCGCTCCTGAAGGCTCAGGGCTGTTACGGGACTTTCTCCAGGGCCCAAATCTGCATGGCTCTAGAGGCCACGTTCTTCCCTGGGCTCTTTAAGGCAGGGAGGGGATGTGGGGCCCAGGAGAGGCCCTGGGAGTTCTGGGGAGGCTGGGACTGCGGGCTGGGTGGTTCAGGGAGGGTATAAAGAGGACCTGGGACTGCAGGTCTTGGCTCACGCCAGTAATCCCAGCACTTTGGGAGACTGAGGTGGGTAAATCGCCTGAGGTCAGGAGTTTGAGACTAGCCTGGACAACATGGTGACACCCCATCTCTACTAAAAAATACAAAAAAACTGTACTGCTATGGTTATCACCTACGTATGGTGGCCCTGAGTGGAGCATGCACAGGTACAAGTAGACAGGCAGTGCCCCAGTGAAAGAAACTCTGGCTTAGAAGCAGAAGTCCCAAGTTCAAATTCCACTGCGGCCACTTCACCATTATCACTGTGTGAATTTCGGAAAACCGATGAACCTCTCTGAGTGAAATGGGGAAAACAGTGTGATGTGAGACTCAAAACACACTGCATGCGCTGGGCGCGGTGGCTCAAGCCTGTAATCCCAGCACTTTGGGAGGCTGAGGCGGGTGGATCACGAGGTCAAGAGATCGAGACCATCCTGGTCAACATGGTGAAACCCCGTCTCTACTAAAAATACAAAAAAAAAAAATTAGCTGGGCATGGTGGCGCGTGCCTATAATCCCAGCTACTCAGGAGGCTGAGGCAGGAGAATTGCCTGAACCCAGGAGGCGGAGGTTGCAGTGAGCCGAGATCGCGCCATTGCACTCCAGCCTGGGTAACATGAGTGAAACTCCGTCTCAAAAAAAAAAAAAAAAAAAAAA